GCAGTGGGCAGTCCAGGAGAGGTCTGCTGCGCCATGTGGGTTACCTCCGGGGCAGGCAGGGATCGAACTCATGCTGAAGTGGCTTTAGCTTCTTAGTGCTGCGCTTAACCCGCTGTGCCACCAGGGAGGCCCCAGAATTAATTTTTTAACAAAGTCCTATTGTGTCATATCCTTGTTACCATGCTGACAATATAGCCTAATTATAAAAATATTTTGACAGTGTAGGATTTCCCTTCTTAAATGTGGTCGCCAGAGGGCTCCCACCACCCAGGTACCCTCAGGCCTCTGCCTGAGTCCATCGTGTGTCCCCGCCCTTTCTTCTCCCTTTCCCCCCTTAGATGCCTCAGACCTACACTGACCACAATTTTAAATGCTGCAGATCAGAAAAGTGGGATTTTGGATTCAATTGAAGATTTACTGAAAGAGTCCTTGAAGCTTCACTCAAGTTATGCTGCACCACTGAGACTTGAATTCATTAACATCTGGAACCCTGGCACTCTTCCATACTGGCTATTCGTGATATAAATTTACGCTGGGTTCTTTCTACTTTATGAAAAACTAGGTTCAAAGAAATAACAGTTTCTATGGCATAACCTTCAAATATTCAAGCTTGAAAAGCCAAGTTTTCCCAGTCAGTTTCCGACTAGCTTAATAAAAGGTCATGTAATTATCACTGAACATAAAGGATTTGATCTGCCTGGACCATCACTAGCACATCCAGTGCCAAGCTGCCCAGATGTATAATAAATAACATGCATGCACACACACATATATAGTGGGTGAATTGGATGTAAATTGACCATTTCCCCAGGGGCAGTCAGAAACAGATGCAGGGTCTCCGCAGGACACATCACACCAGTCAGAGTTGAGTTGTGCGGCAGAGAACGGTGCTGAAATGGGCGATACCAGAAAATGTGTTCTTTCCTGGTGTCTGCACAGGCAGCGGACATCAGCTGTGGGTTGTGGAGAACTAGGTGTCTGAGCTGTGGGGGTCCCAGTGCGCTGGTGTGCCTCCTCCACAGGTGGTGGAAGAGAAGCTGGTGTGCCACGCCATCATCGGAGCACAAAAGGGGAAGAGCTTGGTGATGACCGTGAAGATCATCTGCGAGTTTGTGGAGCCAATCATCCAGCTGTCCACCAAGCAGCTCATATACCGGCTGGAGAAGGTCAGCGGGCTGTGCTGGGGAGGGCTTGTGCTGCCTGGGGGTTGGCATGGCCACCTCCTTGGGAGAGTGGAGGGAGGCCAGTTTCTCCTATACCCAACCGAAGTTTTTTTTTTTAAGATTTATTTATTTATGCTTACAGAACTGGGGTACAGGCCAGAGGTACAGGGGTGGTGAGAGGATTCACCAGAGACAGAGTGGGGCGCAGAACAGGCAGATGGACTGAAATACACTGCTGAGAGGAGCAGCAGGCAGATCAGGAGAGGTTTGCCCCACCATGTGGGTCAGCTCCCTGGCGGGGGATTGAACTCGTGTTGCAGTGGCTTCAGAGAACTTCTTAATGTGGTGCTTTAACCTGTTGCACTACCAGGGAGAGCCCCCAACTGAAGTCTTTTTAAGGTTAAAACACTACTGAAAATTCTGAATCTAAGCACCTGTGCCTTTGACATGCAAATGATTATAGAAATTCGACTTCTTTCATTCCTGGTGCCTGAGACCAAAGTGAAGTGCACTGAAAACGCATTTCAGATGATGGTTTCACCAGGTAGGGGAGGCAGCGTTGAAGGAGAATTCTTGCTAACTGCCCACGGGAGCAGAGCGGATACAGCCCGTCACCACAGAGCTCGCCACCGAACACCACTTGAGAATGACGCGATTTGAGTCCACGCATTCACTGATGTGGCTGTAGCTGCCCCTGAGTTATGTGGCCATTGGGGCGGAGGCAGAGGACAGCAGGAGATTGGGAAGGACAGCCGCTTGGACAGGGTCAGGTGGTGAGGAAGTGGTGGGCCCTCACAGCGGGGCTGACCCTGCTTCTCAGCGGGCGTCTAGCACAGAACTGTTTACCAACCTGAAGGGAATGTACAGAATGTCTCTCCCGAGCTCAGGGCTGCGCTTATTCTGGTACTGCACTCATCACTTTGGTGCCGAACACCTGGTGAGCCCACCAGTCACAGCCAACATTGAAAAACTGGTAGTAGGCATGGACTGTAAACAAGTCATCAGAATTTAATTGCTTGAATTACAGTCACACAGTTCTGTGAACAAGTGTAAAGGGCCGTGAGAACATATGTCAGGGATGTCTGTGCATGTGGCCATAGGGACTTCCTTGAGGGATACTTTCCTTGAGACTTGCAGGAAAGTAGAAATCAGTCTGGTAAGGAGGTGGGGGGAGGAGTGTGGGAGGAGGAAACCGTGCGTCCTTGGGGCTGAGTTGGGAAGATGTTTGCTGAGTACGTAGACCTGGAATACCACCTTCAGCAGGGACTATGCCAGGGATGCCAGGAGGGCCATCTACAGATGTGGGGACCACATGTGGCATGGCTGGGAGGCAAGCATGGCCCCAAAACTTTGGGTTTTGTTCTCTTATGGGAAGACTTTAGGGAGGAGAAAGACACGATCAGATGTATTCATGGCTATAGTCAGGCCAGCTGCTGAGTGGAACCTTTATTAAGGCCTGCCATGTGCCAGGCACTTTCTAGGATACAGCAGTGTGAGAAGACCCTCCCTGGTGACCTCGCCAAACAGTAGGTGGGCTGCTATCCCACTGTGGTGCTAAGCCATCACACCAAAGCCTGGGACGCGGGTGTCCCATCCACCAAAGCTCCTCACCTGGGGGCTTGCAGGACAGTGCTCAAGTGCACCTATCCTGGTATTACGTTCTGTCTCTCCTGTTCATGTCAAGTAAATCACTACAGAGCATCCCCCAGGTAGGGCATGAAGGAGGGGGCTTAGAGTGGGGGAGCAAGATGTGAATTCAGCAGCAGAAACCCTGGCTCACCAGACTGGTGGGAAAAGCAGACACCAAGGAAATGAAGAGTTTTGGTTTCAGGATGCTAAACGAACCGTGGCAAGTTTTGTGAGCCTTATTAAAAGAAAATACTGTAAGAATTCCTGGTGCCGTTATTAAGCTCATTGCTCTGATTCAAATTCTTCTGCTGCTAAGTAAAAGGAAAGATATTTATTGGTGACAGCTGCACCAAATTTGGTGGCATCATATTTTCTCTGAATGTAGCTATTCAGAGAAAACTCAGTGAATATGTATTGAAAAGCTGTTCTGTGCAAGGCATTGCAGTATATGTTAAATATGCAGCTTAGTTTCTTTAGCGGGTGCTTTTATCCTAACTAAGCCCATAAACATTCATAAAAATGTGTGGGTAATCTTTTTTCTCTTTATATCTATAAGCCTTGTTTTCAAAAGTATATTCGTCTTTAGCTGTCTATTGTTTGAGTCTATCCCCAGAATAAAATAGCAAATATTTTTAATATGCCAGTGACTTTTTGGATTAAAAAAGGAATTGAGCTACAACCCTCTGCTTTTGTCCTTGCCCCACACCACCCTACCCTCTGCCCCATCAACAAGTTGTCCTATTCCTATATTTTTTGCATGGTCCATTTCTTGCTCATATTTAATCCTTACTGGGGCCAATGAAGAAACGCAACTTCAGTTCTCAGCATGTGCAAGAGATCCCGGCATGGAGACTTAACTATGTGACACCCCGTTACCTGTTCTGTCTCCCTATGTTAACCAAGGAGGTGTCCCTGGTGCAGTATACCAGACCAGGGACATCCTACCCCTGCCTGTGGGAGGGTGTTTCTGTGACCACTTCCTCAGATCTGATCTGCTTTACACCTGCTGTACCACTCAGATGCCGCAGAGATGAAACTGCATCTCTGTGGGGTTGAAAAGGTCAATTGAAACAAGCAGTCAGTTTGCTTCATGAAGTCCAGCAGCCAATCCAGCCTCCTGATATTTGGGAAGACAAACAACCCTGAGAGAAGGGGTCATTTAAAAATAGAACCAATTTTCTGCTCATCAACTCCTTCCTATCACTGACCTCTAAATGGCCTTTTGCCAAAACCAACCAAGTGAGGCTTCTCCGTTCCAGTCTACCTGCCGTGGACAGCCCCCAGAAGGCTGCTGCGTGGACAGTTCTCCTGACAAAGCCTTGGTGAGGCTCCTACGTGCTGCTTCATCCCAAACTACAGTGTGCAGTCTGCGAGTAAGAAGTGAGCCCAGTGCCCATATTACCATGTTGGGGGCAGGAGGGACCAGTTGGAATCTTGTATTAAGTGCCAGACTGAACCCCTAAAAGAACTTAGGGGTGCCAGGAGTGTGGGTGGAGTGCACCTGAGGCAGGAGGCTGGAGCCAACTGTTAGGAATGAATGGTTACACCCCCCAGATACTATGTGGGAGCTCCAGTCTCCAGTGTGATGGTACGTACACATGGGGCCCTGGAGAGTGATGAGCGTCTCCGGAGCCCTCCTGAATGGGGTTGGTGTCCTTCTAAGAAGAAGCAAGAGAAGTGCCCCCTCTTCAGCCATGGGAGGACACCTTGAGAAGATGACCACCCACAAGCCAGGAGGAAGCCCATCAGACAGTGGACTTGCCGGCACCTTGGCCCCGGACTTCTCAGCCTCCCAAGCTGTGAGACAGGACTGTGTGTTGTTTAAAGCACTCCTCTGTGGTATTTGTGGGGGCAGCCAGAAAAGGGCACAGTGGGCACTGGGCCCAAGTCCTTCAGAGCTGGGGGTCCAGGAACCACAGCAGAAGAAAGACAACTCTGAGCAAGAAGTTGAGACAGCAGCCCATCAAACGGTGGCTCTCAGGAGGATTTAACTGGATTTGGAACAGGGAGCAAAAGGCAACCAAAACAAAGGCACCAGGAACAACTGGCTGGAACTGTCAGGAAAGCCGGGGATAGTGCGAGGAGGCCCGTTTTGGGGGCCTCAGAACAGAGGCTTCCCCTCACCCACCCCTGCTGGCAATGGGCCTCTTATCTGGGCACACAGGGATGCTTCAGGCTGCTACGCCAGCACGAGAACAGCCCTGTCTGAAAACTTTTGCTCAACACACACTTCTGATACTTTCTCCAGCTGAAAAATTAAAAGTTGGCATGTCTGACGTGTGAAAAGCTGCTTCTAAATCAACTCTCCCGTTGTTACCATTTTCAAGGAAATGGTGATGAGCATTTGTTCATATAAGAAGTCTATTTGCGGGCCCTCCCTGGTGGCGCAGCGGGTTAAAGCACAGCACTGAGAATCTAAAGCCACTTCCGCATGAGTTGAAAACCGCCTGCCCCGGAGGTGACCACATGGCGCGGCAGACCTCTCCTGACCCGCCCGCTGCTGCCCTCAGCAGTGTACTTCGTTGATCTGCCTATTCTGCTCCCCACTCTGTCTCTGGTGAATCCTCTCACCCTTCGCATCTCTGGCCTGTACCCCAGTTCTGTATGAATAAATCTTTTAAAAAAAAAAAAGAATTCTATTTGCAAATAGGGTATTTTAAGCATGGGAAAACTATTGCCTAAGGGAAAAATATTAATACAGTGATACCTTCCACACAATATCCTAACTTATTAGACATTGTTTTAGGAAACTTTTATTGCAATAGTTGTATCCAGAGACATGGCAAAAAAAAAAAATGTCGAGATTGAGTTTTCTGGCTTACATAAAGTCACTTCTCAGTAGTCCACCATGCAGTACATTAGAAATGATGACTCTAAGTCTCTATTAGGGGAAAAACATTATTGACATATGTATGTCAATAGTATGACACAGACAGAAGGAGACGGACCGTCGGATGGCCAGGACAACGCTAATTCTGCTGTTAAACAATGAGTACGAGACTTTGCTTGCTAAATGCTTTACCAACATTTGGTTTGCTTCCTCTCTCTTTTTTCTTTTTTTGCAGAAACCCAACACTGTCCTGGAGCCTGATTACCAGCCTTTGGTCCTGAAGAATGTTTCCACCCTGCCCGTGAACATGCTGCTGTCCACAGGCGGCCCCTTCTTCATCTGCGAAACTGACAAATCGCCCCTGCCCTTGACACCCATAGTAAGTGACCCGAGGGCTGTTGCGACATTCCTAGGGTGGGCTGTGTGTGTGACAAAGAGCAGAATAATACCTGTGCGCTGCCTGATTCCAGAAAAATGTAAAGAACCCAGGAAATGGAAGAAAGAATACAGGAAATTTGAAAATAGTACCGAGTAAATTCCAATATCAAAAGTAGGAAAGCTGGTCTTACTAGGGTAAGAACTTCCTGTTATTACAAAAATCCATTCATTTCTGCCCCCCTTGAGAATACAGTGACTTCCCACAAATCAATAGTAAAGCTCTTTTCTTTCTTCAAATTGTAATAAACCGCCTTCCTCAAGGAAGAGCCAAAGCGCAGCCCTGAAGCCAAAGGCCCCACCTCCAAATACTGAACTGGGCCGGCTCACCTGGCCCCAGTCTGGGGCAGGACACAGTATTCTTTCCACCTACAAGACCATCCCTGACCCTTTATTGGGAACCATGGGAACAGCTGGCCAGTGGAGCTGCAGAGCTGTAGGAAGGGAGTGTTGAAGGGGAAAGCAGACGTTTGTACCCTCAGGCAGGGGGAGAGGTGAAGTGGAGGAGGGAGGGAGGAGGAAGTGGGGACAGGCAGCAGCTGTGAGACTGAGCCCACAGAAAAGGGAGCCCAGGACTTGGGACTTGTGGAAGGACACTGGGGAGGGAGGTATTGGGGCAAGAGGGGGACCTAAGAGCTTGTGAGAAGGCGTTGCAGATGGTGCCTCTTGGTGGCTGTGAACTGTACTCCTCCCTCCCCTGTGGCTCCCTCCCCTCTGATTTAATGGGTCCCATTCAAGCAAGAGCTGGGAAAACAACCAGCTAAGATCTTTGACCAGAGAAATAAAAGAAGGAAATAACTGCAAGCAAGAGGCAGATGAAAACCTACTGCAATGTAGGAGAGTTCCTTTTTCTCCACATTTCGCCAACACTTGTTGTTGGTAGTTTTTTAATTACACAATGAATATATATTTTTTTTTGAGTTTTAAATTTTATTTATTTTATTTATTTATTTTTTTATTACAAAAGTTTATTTTTACATCATTTTGTACATTTTTTTTCACCTCAATTGTAATCCCCTCGGGTTTCCCATCACCAAGTCACCCATGTGCCATCACCATAATCCCGTGCATTTCCCTACCCCCATCCTGTTTTTGATCCCATTGCCCACTCCACCCCCACAAAATGTCTTTGGTATATGGTTGTTCATTATTTTTGTTATTTTCCACCTGGTCCATTATACTCCTGCTATGAGTGAAACCATCCGGTATTTTTCTTTCTCTTTCTGGCTTATCTCGCTAAGCATGATCTTTTCCAGTTCCATCCAAGTTGCTGCAAAAGACATGTGTTTCTCTTTTTTGGTTTCTGAGTAATATTCCATTGTATATATGTACCACATCTTTTTTATTCAGTCATCTACTTTTGGGCATCTGGGCTGCTTCCATGTTTTTCCAATTGTGAATAAAGCAGCAATAAACATGGGGGTACAGGTATCTTTTTCAACCAGTATTTTTGTGTCTTTTGGGTAGATACCTAGGAGTGGGATTGCTGGGTCGTAGGGAAGCTCCATGTTTAGCAGTTTGAGGAACCTCCAAACAGTTTTCCATAGTGGCTGTACTAGTTTGCATTCCCACCAGCAATGCAGGAGAGTTCCTTTTTCACCACATCCTCGCCAACATTTGTTGTTGCTAGTTTTTTGAAGATGTGCCATTCTCACTGGGGTGAGGTGGTATCTCATTGTGGTTTTAATTTGCATCTCCCTTATTACGAGTGATGTTGAACATTTTTTCATATGCCTGTTGGCCATCTGCATTTCCTCTTTGGAGAAGTGTCTTTTTAGCTCTACTGCCCATTTTTTGATGGGGTTGTTTACTTTATTTTTGTTGAGTTTCATCAGTTCTCCGTATATTTTTGTGATCAGTCCTTTATCGCTACTTTTGTGTGAGAAAATGTTTTCCCAATTAGTTATCTGTCTGTTTGTTTTTAGTAATGTCTCTTTTGCTGTACAGAAGCTCTTTAACTTGATGTAGTCCCATCTATTTATCTTTGCCTTCACTATTGTGGCGTTGGGTGCTCTGTCTTTAAAGATGTCGCTGAAGTGTATGTCTTGTAGTGTTTGACCCATCTTTGCTTCTAGGTATTTTATGGTTTCCGTTCTTATGTCTAGGTCTTTAATCCACTTCGAGTTGATTTTTGTAATTACACAATGAATATATTTTTTAAAAGAAAAAAAAATCTACTGCAAGGGAACCTACCTGAGGAAGACAAACATATGCAAACGTGTCATTCTCTACAGCCTCTCAGAAATATAGCTCATATGACTCATCTTTAAAAAGAACTCAAGGATGAGAGAAATGTGTTCAAAGAGGAGATGCAGATGGAACCCACCAAGTGGGGGAGAAAAAATGAAGGAGAAAATGAAAATTCAGCCACAGGCAGTTCTCTCAGTCTTGTACTAGACTGAAATGGGGCCCACTTGTCCCCTCCTGGCATGCAGCAAGATGAGAGCAGAAGTGTTCGAGAGGGAAGAGGCCCAGGGCAGTAAACAAAGGGGGAAGAGCTTCCTAACCAAAGGAGGAGAGCCTGGAGCACATTCCAGAAGATGGAATGGGGGGGGGGGAGCGATAAATCACAGAAATCTACAGCCTAGAAAATTCTCCAGCGAGGTTGTGGGGGTCATCCCTGAGCAGTCTGTGCTCAGAGATTTGTGTGAGAACTCTGAAGACAGAGTGATTCCATGGCTTGTCCCCCGCAATATGCCCTTCCCAGCCCCATTCACCAAATAAACATTGGCACGTAGCTTTTATCGCAAAATATAAAGCTAAGTGCTCTTCTCCTGGGAAGCATATCAGAATGTTTGGGGAAATGTAATGTTTCTAGGATCAGCACCCTAGAGTAATCCCTGGCATCTGGGGTGTGTCCACCACTGGTCGTTCCCTGTCTGCCTACGGAAACTGCCCTGTGGCCAGGCCTACAAGAACTGAGAAAAACTGGCCTCCAGGTTGTGGGGAAGCCAGGGTAGCTCTGTAGCTACTGTGTTTTGGTAATAACTACTATGGTACAGTCTGACCTATGTACTATGTCTGTGTCACCTGTGTCTTACCTTTAATTAAAACATACATATAATTCAAGTGTTCTGCAAGCTGATAGAAAAATACCAACAATCCAGTAGAAAAATTGACAAAGGGAGTGAATAGCGAGATCACCGGAAAACAAAGTGGTCCTTAAATATAAGAAAGTATGTTCCACTTGAATAATACTAGAATAAATGCAAATCAGTATATCTAGGAAGCCCCTTTTTTCTTTTCTTTCTGGCCAAGAGCAGAAAAGAATGGAAAGTGGCTGGCCACTAGGGAGGCTGGAGGAGGCAGCGGCACCCCTGCAGGGAGGGAAGTGCGCTTTGGAAAGCAATATGGCAGTATCGCAAGTTGATATTTTAAATGTCCATACCTTTCCACTCCTAGGAGTTTATCCCACACAAGCACTGGAGTTTAACCAGTACACAAGATACATATATTGTAAGGATCCGCCACAACATTGATTCTAGGAGCAAAACACTGAGAGCCAATGTCCATCAACAAGAGAATAAACAAACAATGGCAGAATTATATGGTGGATTGAAAGGCTTTCAGCTACTAAGAAAAATGAAATCCCACCGTTTGCAGCAACATGGATGATCCTGGAGGGCATTATGTTTGGTAAAATAAGTCAGAGAAAAACGAAAGCTATATAATTCTACTCATACATGGTACCTAGAGAAACAAAACACATGAAATACAACAGAACAAATAATACAAAAATGAACTAAATAAAACAAAAATAAGCTTTGAGAGTTGAAGATCAAATTAGTGGCTACCAGAGGGGAAGGGCGATAGGAGAGTAGGGGGCGTCAGTCAGGTAGAGGGGATCACTGCTGTGATAAAAGATGGAATTGAACTTTTAGGGGTGAACTTAGCATATGTATATGGATGTTAGTTTATAATGTTGATGCACAGTGAAACCTATGTAATGTTTATCATACAGTGCCACTTCAATTAAAAATTACAAAGAATAAAAATATTCTAGAAGTCTTAAAGAGCTCGTGATCTCCCAGTGGAAGAGCACAGTGCAGAGCAAGAATGCACAGTACACTATATTTTTGTATTTAAAATTAATCCACCTACATGGGCATGCAAAATGGTTCAGCCACTATGAAGAGCTGTTTGGAGGTTCCTAGAACTGCTAAAAGTGGAACCTCCATATGAACCCGCAATTCCACTCCTAGGTACTTACCCAAAGGACACAAAAACATAAATGCAAATAGTGCTGTACCCCTATGTTTATTCCAGCAATATTTACAATAGGTAAACTATGGGAAAAACCCAGATGCCCAAAAGTAGATGACCAAATTAAGGAGATGTGGTATATATACACAATGGAATATTACTCGCCTGTTAAAAAAGATAAATTCATGCCATTGGCAGCAACCTAGATGGAGCTGGAAGGGGTCGTGCTCAGTGAAATAAGCCAGAAAGAAAAATACTGGATGATTTCACTCTTAGGAGGAATGCAGCAGGTTCAAATAAGGGATCAGGAAAAAAATTATAATAAAGTAAATATCAAAATTAACAGACAGTTATAAACCAAAGACATTCAGCAGAGGGGAAGAGGGAAGCAGGATCAAAACAGGGGTGGGAAGAGCATAAGTAACTATGGTGATGATGCACAGGAGAACTGGTGGTGGGAACTTCATGGGGACCACACCTGTGATGAAAGAGCACACTTTATACAAAAATGAAAAATGATGTTAGAATATATATATAATAATTATAATATTAAAATTAATCCACCTAAAAAGGTCATTTTATATCCATACACTGGGGTAAGCAGGACACTTGTAAACTTGGGTGCCTCAGGGGAGGGCTTGGGGGAGATGAGGGGCGATGGGCACAGGGGTGACTTGCATTTCATTGTTCTGTTTATTTAACATACAAATGAAATATTTAAAAAACAATTTTTTAAAGGCTACTCTTTGCCCTGGGGTAAAATAATATAGAATATTCAGCAGTGAGTCAGATCTTAGTGAAGGTCTGGTCCTGCTGATAATCAAGGAATTTCATTATATCTAGGCCAAAAAAAAAGAGAAAAGGAAAAAATATCTTCCCATTGAGGGAAAATTTTAGACCTGCCTCAGCCTTCTGCACAATACTGTTTAATGCCAGTCAGCAACAGAGCAATGGAGACAAAATGTTGAGGGAAAACTCAAAGGTGACCCCCAAATTTTACAACCAGCCAAACTGTCCAATAAACATAAATGTTACAGACACACTCAAAATGCAAGAAATGAATGAAAACTCTTCAGGCAGCCTTTCAAAAAAACCAGTTTGCTAGTGAAACGCAGTCATTCAGAAGAACCACTTGGGAATGAAAGAAAGCAGAGAGGCCATGTAATGATAGAGTTGAAATGTAGCAACTTTGATGATTCCAGAACAGTCTTTAAATATCATCCTGTTAAAATTAGTGCTGTAACCAGAAAAGAGCAGGGGATGTGGAGAACGAACGTGCTGATTCCATCCCCCTTCAGGGCTGGGTGTCAGTAGATACTGTCTGGAGTTGAAACTACTTAATCCTTAACCATCTTCCTCTTGAATGTAAAGGGATAAAGGAATAATTGACATTGACACACCGTGTGCCAGACGCTGCTTTTAACACATCCCCTCCATGTCAACTCATTCCATCATCCTGCAAAGAGGAAAGCACTCTTAATGCCCCTGTTTTACTGATGAAGAAACCAAGGGTTGAGGAGGCTGTGCAGCTGTGTCCAAGTTCGTAGGATTGGACCAGGTTGTGAGGATTTAGACCCGACAGTCTGACTTTGGAGTCCTGAACAGAGAATGGATAACTCCTGTATGAGGACATTTTGCTCGAGGTTATTTTGGTTTATGAGAAAAAATTCAAACATGATTTTTAAAATATAAGTACATGTAGCTTAGTTCCATTTTGGTAAAATGGCATTTATCCTTCCCTCACGTCTGTTACCAAACGTAAACGCTGGAAAATAACATTTAGGGCAATGTCTCTTCTCTGTGTTTTTATATATACAATAATGTGAATCTTTGTGATCATTTCTGCAAAACTGGGGAGAAAAACACATTTAAGTTGATCTTCAGAGACATTTTGATAAACCTGGAGCATTTTGATAGCCAGTGCTGCCATTGCCGTGGTCTACAAGAATAGGGTCCAGGCCCCAAGCCATGGCCCCAGCTCTGCAGTTAACTGGCATTACACAGTATCAGCAGACGCCCTCTTAGCTGTGCTGCTGGACCCCGTGAAAAATGTGAGACTGGCGTGAGAAGAGCACTGCACACACCCTTGTTCCCAGCTGCTTCCCTGGTGCCTGGGGCACACTCTGCAAATCCAGGAGGCAGTTTGCACGGAATAAATACGGGAATTGAGCAGTTCTTTTGAAAGCCAGCTCATCCTCTCCATCCACTCATTTGGGGACATTTAGCTTGTTTCTGTATTTTGACTGATGAACACAGTGCTGCGATAAACATGGGGGTGCAGGTGGCCTTTCAGATTAGTGTTTTCGTGTACTTTGAGTCGAAGCCTGGGTCATGTGGTAGATCCATGTTTAGTGTTTCGAGGACCATCCATGCAGCTTTCCAAATGGTGGTAGGGGAAACTAGGGGGACTGAACCCAAGAGGAGAAATCAAATATGACCAAAATTAACAACGATGTAAGAAAATAGATATGTATTTTAAAAATAAGTAAAAAATAAGGAGAAAAAAAGCCAACGCAGAGCCAGACTTTTGCCCGGTAAGTGTTACTGTGGCCTTGTATCAAGGAACATGTGCAGGTTTGACTCAAAAAGAAACAAAATTTACTGAACCAGCTCTGTTAAGCTCCAGAGTACCATTTTAAGTTGAACAGAAACTGCCGAAAGTAGGTAACTTAGAATTGCAGACAATAAAAAAGCAATTAAATTACTTAACCCATCCCTTTCTGGAGTACCCTCTATAGAAACCCTCCCCCAGGGCTCTAGGAAGTCTCTTTAAAAATTCTTAAATAGGGCTCTCCCTGGTAGCACAGCGGGTTAAAGCACTGCATTATGAAGCTGTCCACAGCCACTGCAGCATGAGTTTGATCCTCCACCAGGGAGCTGACCCATATGGTGTGGCAGACCTCTCCTGACCCGCCCACTGCTCCCCTCAGCAGTGTATTTCAGTAGATATGCATGTTCTGCTCCCCACTTTGTCTCTGGTGAATCTTCTCACCCACCGTATCTCTGGCCTATACCCCAGTTCTATATGCATAAATGAATGAATCTTTAAAAAAAAAAAAAAAACTTAAAGAATTTTGCCCGTGTATCTAGAGATGGGCATTTTACAGTCCCATGTATTTTCAGTTAGGAATGCTTTATAATAGTCATAGTGGACTTTCCCCTTTTTATAACTCCTCAATCCTTATAAACTCCTACTCTTACCAAATATCTCTCTTCAAAAATTTCTCTCCAGCAAAGAATTAAAGCATGGTATTCATTAATAAATGTAATGTATTCATTAATAAAAATACACGCACACAAAAAACCTCTTCATATTATCCTTGCATTCATTTTCAACTAATAGGTGTGTCCCTATAGACAGATACATCTGTATTGATACCTGTATCAGTGTAGTGTAGGTAATCCTGCCTGTATGTAGGGGTAGGCATAAAACTGTGAATAAACTGGCTGTGTGGGTATTTAGCCTAGCCTGCATGCACATATGTGCTCTGTGTGTATATGTAGATTGCTATAAATAACTTGGATTGTCCTGTCTCGTGTATCAGCTTAGACACCCGTGGACAGAGGTTGGTAACTACCCCTTTTCTTGCTTGGCAGCCTACTAGGCTAGAAATCAATGAAGAGAAGAACCTGCTAGTCAAATTTGACCCTTCCTACAGAAACGATTTTAACAACTGGGTGGCAGAAGAAACTCTAACCATCAAGTACACGGAGCATCCTCAGGTGGACAGCGTGAACCTGCGTGGGGAGGTGCATTACCCCAACCTCAGCTTTGAGACCATGGAGCTGAATTTTGGCTGTATCCTGAACGACACTGAGGTCATCCGATACATTAACATCAGCAACTGCAGCCCCTTGCTGGTCAAGTTCCGCTGGTTCTTCCTGGTGGACGATGAGGAAAATCAGATCAGGTAGGAGCAATCCCACTCAGCTCTCCTCCACTGTCCCCTTTCTTCTCCTTCAGGCTCTTCCCTGGGCTTCCTGCAGCCTGTGTCCTACTGTTTCACAAACACGTTCAATTCTGATTCTTTTTTTTTTAAAGATTGATTTATTTGTGCATACAGAACTGGGGTGCAGGCTAGAGGTGCAGGGGCGGTGAGAGGATTCACCAGAGACAGAGTGGGGAGCAGGACAGGCAAATTGATGAAGTACACTGCTGAGGGGAGCAGCGGGCAGGTCAGGAGAGGTCTGCTGCCTCCCTGGCCAGGATTGAACTCACAAGCCCAGCTCCGCAGTACAGACTCCAAGCCGCGCCACCAGTGAGGGCCCGGACATGTTCAGTTCTAACTGGTTATTGACAGGAGGCACTAGGAGCCTAAGATCATGGTCCATCCTGCACTTCCGGACAGGAAAGGCAGATAAGCTCTCTGTGAGAGCTCTCACTGCCTCCACACTGTGTATCTAATTTGAGGCAGATATCAATATCGATATATGTCTGTAGGCGCACACCTCTATTAGCTGAAAATGAAAGCAAAGATAATCTGGAGAGGAGTTTTTAATTTTGATTCATGAAATACCATTGTTTTACATCTTTGTTGGAGAAGAATATTTGAAGCCACTAGCCTGCTTTGATGTTGAACCTAGGAGTAGGTGGTCAGAATACATTGTCAAAAAATAAAAGCTTTGTAGAGCTTTCTTAATAAGCATTTCAAACCCAACGTGGGAATTGAGCAGGACAGTTCTTCAGCCCTGAGCACCACACAGCTTGCAGTGACTTTCCATCTGGCCCGCAGACACCATGTCCACGCACGTGTGCACACACATAGCCACGTGTGCAACGGGGGGAGGGGAGAGTCATGGTAGGGAAAGGCTGTCTGCAACAATTCTGTATTTAGAGGTGTTTCTTCCACTCATTTAGACTTAAGGTCAGTTAGTTACTAAATCCAGACCATTCTTTTCGGAATTTATACGCAGGTTGTTTCCCAGAGCCCCCGGCAACATTCCCGCCGTAGTCAGGTGCCTGGCTGGAAGCCAGCGTGAATGGCTTCTGCACACGCCCTGTTGGGTGTGTTGACAGCTGAGTTTTCAGCACCTAAATGTTGAATGAACATTCGGAATGGAGAAGCCTGGGTTGCTTCTTGCACAGTGTCCTCACATTTGTTCCAGCCCCCCTTTTCTTGCCTGTGCTTGTTACCATGGTAACGAGCGCTTACTCAGGATGTCTGTTAGACATCTATGGAGTAGTACTGACGCGGGCCAGTCTGATGTTAGGGCCTGCTCTTGAGGTGCCGCGGCCTGTTCAGGTCGGGGATGAAGTTCACAATGTAGAGGCTGAACATTTCAAATAATTATGGAAGGATCAGTCAGCCCAACCTAGTGGGTCAATCTCAGATCTTGTGAAGTTATTCTGTGGAACACAACTAACCAAGTTCGTTCTACCTGGGAGCAAAGGCCATGCTTTATTTCTTTTTTTCAAGAGGGCATTGCCATCGTCTCCATAATCAAACAAATGATATTTTGAAAGTGTATTTGGTCAGTACCAGAGATGACGCACTTAATTTTTCATTGGTTGAAAAAATTCATTTAACCATTTTTTTCCTTTTTCAGTATCTTCCTGTATCTTGATGTTGAGCTTCTGCTTAGAATTCATGTGTTAATTTATTCATTCTTTCAGAGGGTCATTCAGAAAACATTTGATGAGATGAGTGACACCAGGAGACCAGTTATATGTCAGACATCAGATATAAAATTGCATAAGTGTGGTCTCTAGAATGAGCTGCTGGGGAGTAGTCTGTGAACCACAGCAGATTTGATGATGCTGGACTTGGGGAAAGGTGGGGAGTGGGGAGGTGACAGCTCACGCTTGTCCAGGGAGTCGCACTGAGAAGCACGTCCCAGGTGTCCCAGATGGAGAAGCAGGGATGCTTCTAAGGGACAGAAATAGCATGTGTATGTCAGCTATTTGCAGCGTCCACTTCTGTTGAAAGTAGCAGGACACCTGACTCTGAGCAGAAGTGAAAAGGAGAGGACACTCATTGGTCCCCACCATCTGAAAGTCCAGCTTCATTCTGCTTCTGGCGGCCTCATGCACAGACTCCGGCAGTGTCACTGGGCCAGTGTTCTGCCTCCCTGTGTTAATCTGGGTCTCAGGTCGGCTTGTTTCCACCAAATGGCCAGCACCCCTGGGGCCAGGTACGTACAGGCTCCAACCACTGAAATGGAACCTGAGCCTGTGTCCCAGAACTTCGTGAGAGCCACGGATGGACCAGCTTTGTCCTGCCTGTCCCCTCTCCCAGCCAGTCCCTGTCAGGAAGATAAAGCTCTACTCCCTGTAGGCCTAGCCACACTCCCACACCCGGGCCTGCTGTGGGGCCTCCAAACCACCTGGACAGAGGGAGATCGGGGGTAAAGCCAATCTCCAGACAGAAACTGCCCTGGGAGAGGATGAATGCTAGAGAGACGAATGACTTGCACCCCTAGTATGAGCAGAGGGCACATCCAAGGGGCTACAGGGCAGAGTGCAGGATGGGGGGACAGTCGGGAGCCAGGTGTGTAGGTATGTGTGGAGGTCTGGTATGTGGTGAGGTGTTTACCCTGCCTCCTCCCCGTCCCCTCCGCCCTATCCTGGTAAATGACACCACTGATGAGGAGGCCTCTGCTTCCCCCCTCTCTGACCCACCCTCCCCGTCAGACCATCACCAGGTTCTACCTGTTTCACTACCTGGAAATGCCCACTCCTTTGTCCACTGGTGTGGCCCTAATTAAAGTCCCCATCGTGTCTCGCCTGGTGGTGGCAGCCCTGCCGGTTCTCTGCCTGCACACCTGCACTGCAGTCTGTTCCCCACTCCATGGCCCTGCTGACGTCCAGCCCTTGGTGGCCATCCATGACCCTGGGGAGAAAGTAGCAAGCACTGCCTGTGTCCTGTCGGCCTCAGCGGGTGCCGCTCCTGCGTCCGCTCGGGCTTCTCCCCACGTCACTCTCTCCTGGCCACTCTGACCTCTCTGTACTCCTGTCCAGGGCTGCTCCTGTCCAGCTGCTCTCGGTTGGACCCTCCTCCCGACTCCTCACTTGCTAGCTCCCCAGTCAGGACTCAGCTTCAGTACCCCACCCAGGGAAGCCTTCTCCCAGACCCTCCCTCTGCCAGAGCCCCTGTTGCACACAGGAAGCCCGTCCCTTTGGTGACTCTCATCACGCTTTTGTCATCACTGCTCAATCCCACTTCCCAGCTGGCTCCTTATTCCCCAAGAGGCCAGAGAACCATCTGTCCCTAAATGGTTCCCTAGAGCCCAGCACAGAGTAGGTCCTCAAAGGGCATTTTTTAATTAACCAGCGGTTTTCCCCAAGACATTTCATAACTGGTTTAAGATTCTTTTCTGTCAGCTTCCTGTCGCCTGCCAAGTGGAAAGGTTCAAGGCGTAAATGTCACCTTGAATAGCAAAAAGAAAAAAAAAAATTCCACTTGTCCTTCACATAGGCACTCCCTGAGCAGACTGTCGGGGAAACAAACACTCTGGCTAAAGGTCACTTACCAGATACATCAACACTAACCTTTCTTTTCCAATTAGGGTTCTTCTAAGCCTCACAGTTAGTAAAGGAAACAAAAGAATCAAGGGGGAGTTTCTTTTTCTCTTATTAGGCAGGATATGAGGAAGCCTAGTCACTCAAGCTTCCTGCCTGTCCCGGCGGACATAGGTCTACGCTGTGTGTGTGCGCGTGTGTGCACGTGGGAGTGAGTTGTGTGTGCACGCATGAGTGTGCATGAGCAGACAACATGTGTGCACACGTGCATGGGGTGTGTGCACGTGCGTGGGAGTGAGTGCACATGTGTGGTAGTGGGTCAGGCTGGGTCAGGCTATTCCGTGTGGTAGTGCGTGTGTGCGTGTGCTGTGGTTTCGTCGGCAGTTCTGACTGACATTGAAAGACTCTTCCAAGTGGGCCATTGTGACACATACAAATAAAAACAAAGAACATAAACCGGACAGGCATGCTAGATAAGCACTGTGGATGAGCGAAAGCCAGCTCAGAAGCAGCCTCAGAAGTGGCTGACCTGAGCCCATTCATGCCGTGACAGGCCCCAGCTGACCTTGGTGGACCAGTCTGCGCCCTCACATGTTCCACGTGAGCTGGGAGGCAGAGCTGAGACAGGCACTGGTGTGCAGGCTGGCACACCTTTGGAGCCTGCCTGGCCGCTCAGCTGGGGAGAGCACAGTGAGCCACAAGGATGCTCACATGGACGCGGCCTTTACTTCTAAGAGGCCAGAAAGGGCTGCACAGACGCTGGCCCGGCCAGCAGCTCTGCCTGACTCACAGCCTCCAAGCCGAGGTGATGCCAGAAGCTCCATGGCTGATTCGCCTCCAGGGAAAGCTTTGGCTCCCTCCCCACCCCGCCCCCAATCAGATTATAAATAATAGAACACGAGAGTCCAGGGAGCCCAGCCCTGAGCCCAGGAGCATGTGTTTGTTCTCGCATGATTTTTCTGTGACACACATTAGCTGTCCAGTACTGAAAATGAAGGGGGACGGTTGAAAGGCTGGGAAAGAAATGGGGAGACCCCATTTTCTAGATGCTTCCATGTGTCTCTTTGTCCCCCATCCGTTTTCACTGCCTTGGGAATGGAGCTTTTCTAAGATGAGTTACATCGGTGGTGGTTGAGGTCCTGGACCACGGGGTAGGATTGACTAGTGAGAATCCAGGCCCTGCCCTCAGTCCGGGGCCCTGGGCTGCCTGCCTGTAAAGTGGGGGTCATGTCAAACCTGAGAGGGCTGTTGAAAGGACTTAGTGGAAGAAAAATTGAAGTCGGTGACTGTTTGCAGGTTCCTCCGACCCCATCATTCCTTTGTCACAAGTGCTGTTAAGAGAGGGCTCCCCAGAATCCGACAGTATGGGTGCTGGAGGTCCACAGACACCAGAACCATGGGCCCAGACCCCTTCTCCTCCCCACAAAGGGTGGCAAGTCCCAGAGGCAGCTT